GGTTACTATGCCTCCTTGGCTGTTTTCCAATGGAATAGGCATTTCCAGGTGACATAAGGTCACAGCTTTTCTATTAGAATGTATTGCCTAAAAACATACAGCATAGAAGGAGCTAAAGAGCTAGAAAGGGAGTTACTTATTGGAATTACTTGAAAGGAAAGTTTGATTTGGATTAAGGAACAGAACCTGTCCCGGGTTTGCAAAACCGTTTGCCCCTCTTCATTTGCAGAATTTAGGTTAGGTTTAGAATTTGCAGGTTAGTTGCAAGAAGCCATTTGTGCTAAGAATCGTTAACCCAGATATTCTGATTATTATCTTTGGAAATAATTACTGGTTTTAATGATTTAACTGCATTGGATTATTCTCAAAATGACATAAAGATGCCTTATTTTTTGCTCAGTTAGGCACTGTTCTGAAAGGGGGAGTGTTAAAAAGTGCCTTGGGGAGAAGTAGTGCTATTCCTGCTCCTGTGTATTCTGTAGCCTTGGACTGCTTGTGTCTGCTTTCTAGAATATGTTTAGATCCCAACTTGCATTTGTAATCCTAAAATTGTTGCCAAGGGCTGGACTAAAGTGCAGGATTGCAAGGACCAGGACCTTGGCCTAGCTGAGCTAGGTAGGATGCAACACGCACCAATCAGGTCGTTGTTTCCTTCTGTGCTGAGAATGGCTGGAGACGAAGAGCCTGAAAGCTTGTTTATGACATTTGCCTGATTAAAAAAAATATATAGTATGTATGTGTATATTATTATTTTAATCCTTTCAATGTTATTTGTGATTGCAAGCTAAAATTAGCATCCCTGCTTATTATCGCTCGCATGAGAGGCAGCTGTTAAGGTGGTGATTTGATTTAGTGATTCCACTATTTCTATGATAGCATATAGATTTGCATAAGGGAATAGTCCAGCTGATAAAATGTGTTCGAATACCTGTTTGATGTATATTGGAAATGGAAACTATGTTTTGATAACTTTGTCCTCAGCTGTGCATCATGAGTGTCTTGTGTATTAATGAAAAAATCTACTATTTAACCCATTTTCTAATACTAACTTGATTTACAATTAAGAAGAAAATACTGTTTAGGTGCATAGATAGCATGTGTGTATGTAAGAGAGAGATGTGTTACACTTTTATTAATAGTGTTGAGCAGTTCTTTACTATGAACACATCTCCTTATGTAAAGCATCCTTATTGTAATAAAAGAAATGAGATAATAGCTTCTTCATGCCCCTATTTATATTTGTGAACATTATACTTGACAATAGTGACAAGATAAGCTCTGTAAATCACAACTCATTCTCTACAGTACTGACACTTTGCCTCCTTAAAATGGTTGCATCCTGCTGCTGGGCAGTGAAGTCTGGTTTCACTGACAACTCTGTTGCTTTTGGGACTTGAGAATCTGTATAAAATCTATATAACATCTCTATATACCAAAAGAATCAATAAGGCTGGGGAAAAATAAATAATTCAAAGCCAGTGGACTGGACACTTGTACTCAGGAATCTTCAAGGAACTGCCTGAGGAGCATGCTGAACAAGTCTTGTTATTTTTTAAGGAAATCTTCAAGATTTAAGGAAATCTTGAAGATAGGTCATGCCTATACAAGAAGAATGCAAGTTATTGGTCTAGAAAGGGAAACATTTTAGATGGTTTTCAGATCTGTATTTAGGGACTGGAAAGCCTCAATATGCCTGGTACAATGGCATTTAAAGAAAGAAGATTGATATAGATAACATTCTTTTAACAGCATTCCATTTTCAAATATTACCTTATCTACAGTGGAACTATTCTTTCCTGCTTTAACTTTTTATCATCTGAAATATCTTCTATTGGATAAGTAAGTGCTGTTGAATTCTACAGACATCAGTGCCACAGTTTGAATTTATCTTCACTTCCACTATTTTAAATAAATAAGTTCTAAATGTAATTTTTTAAACTTAATTGGCCTTTCAAAGATGAATGGAAAAAATTATCTTTTGTTCTGTGTAGTTCAGGTACTAAGGCAATCCTTTTTATTATGAAGTCAGTTTTAGGCCAGGAGGGGACATCATTACTTATGGGTCTCTTGAGCTACTTTATTTTTTTTATGCTTTACTGAAATATATGCAATATAGATTACAGTTCTAAAGCAGTGAAATAATTAAAAATAAACATGAGATAATGTTAATTTGGATTACTTTTTTCACTTTCATCTAGTGTTACATGTTTATCTCATAAGAGATTTGATTCTTGAGGTTCCCTCTAGCCTAATTGTTATATACTGAGATGTGATTGCTCTGCTGTTTTGCTTTGTTTTTTTTTTTCATATCGACTGAGTAATTTTTAATCTCCTTTCTTCTTTTAACCCTTCTATGTCAAATTTGTTGCCACGTCAAATTTTGAGGCGTTAGGGGAGCTGAGGATATCATAAAAATGATTCCTGAAGGCGGGGGTCAGAACTGGCCATGAAATCGCTTTTATATCACACAGTGTTTTTGTGCAAAAAGCTTCATGATTTGATTAAAAAAAAATTCTCTCTGGAGAAAATTTGGAGAGTTCCCTGAAAGGTAAAGGAGGTCAAAATGAAACTCTGTGTCTGTGCAGTGGTTGACCCCTCGCTGGGGAAACACATCTGTTGAGATTGGAGAAATGGTCACATTGAAAGGGAGGTGGGAATCTTGGTTGTGATAAGCGACTGGTTTAGGCAAACGTTCCTATTTTTTGAGTTGATTTTTATGGGAAGCCTTTCCATTTACTGCACATTCTCTAGGCTGTGCATTAAATCCTGAAGAAACATCATAGACACAAAACAGAGACAAAACTCAATATAGTTTCGGTAGAAGCAGGAACAGAATTCTAAGTGTGAAAGGCATCTGTGTTTAGGAAAAAGAGCTGGAATTAAATTTTACCCTGATTTACCTCGAGCGTCAATGTAGTCTTGTAGAAGTTTCCTTATCTCAGCTGCTGCCATACATTCTACCCACAACTGAATTTGTAATATTGTGTTACTGCTTGTCCGGAGTAGTAGTTTTTTTTCTCCACAGTTCTCTTTTTCTCGGATCTCTTTGCTTTCTAGCACACAAGGACACCACTGGGATGTTTTTTGTGATACCTTTTCATGTAATACGAGGTGTCTCTTGGCGAAATATACTCTATACAGTATAAAAATAAAGAATATGGGTTTTTTTTTAAAAAAGGGTTAAAAAATGTGACCATATTTTCCAAAGTTGATGTGGATCTGAAGAAAAAAAGCTCTTCCATGAATATTTAATTTCCAGTGGGGGGAAAAATTACCATGTTGCCAGTAATGCCCCATTAAAGGAAGGATGTCATGTGAATATCTTCAGTCAAATCTTAAATATTGTTAGGCTCAAATGTTTTTCTAATATATCATCCACAGAGAAGTGTGGCACAGGTAATTGATGAGCAGTTTTGCAGGTCTGCTGAAAGACAGAGTTTGGCTGCTCAAAAGGAAAATAATTTGTTGGAATACAAGCGAACGATGAGAATTTACGTTAGAATTTAAGCTGTACTGCATATATAGGAGAAATCAAGCATGGGTTTGCATCGGGTCCTTTAGAAAGGCTGAAATGATGGAGTGATATTCCAGTTGCATCTCTGTCTTCTATATATGTTACCTGTGCAAAATCCTGGAAGCTCCACTTATACACCAGTAGGAAGTGTTCGTATAGACATGTTTTCTTGCCTGCCTTTTTTTTTTTTTTTTTTTTTTTTAAATCCACGAGAGAGATTATATCCTGGTGTTTTTCATTACAGTCGTCATTACTGACATGATTCCTGCAGTTTCAGGGATATACATTTGAGAATTCATTATAGCTTTCACATGCACACGGCGTTTGTTGGTCTTTGCATGTACATGCAGAAACTGCAATGATCTCTTGCTACAGCAAAAGAAAAAAATACTGAAAATGATAACAGCCCTTAGAGAGGCATAGATTAATTCCACTGACTTTTTGGGGGAGTTTTAAATGTGAAGATCAGCAAAGATGTTGTCTGCAGAGAAGGCACCTTGTAGACTCTGTAATTGCAGCACATTGTCTCCGCACAGCATTTGTCCCTTTTAATGACAAAAGTGTTTGTGGAACATTAACAGCTTCTCCTGAGATGTCGCTTTTTGCTCAGGGTGAAGAATGAGCTGCCTCTTTGAGTTCATCTTTTCAAAGCGAACTTTATGAGCTCTGGATCATTCCTTGCTCTTATAATTGCCTTGTGTCTTTTTTTCTGTTTTTGTTTGGGTCATTTTTTTTTTAAATGAGTGTTAATTATGCAAAACCTGCCTAGTTTGGTGGGGTTTTAAAGCATTTTCCTGTTGACTTCCATTAATGGCATTTTCCTCTTGGGAAGGCCTGTGGAAAATGTTTTCCTCTTTGATAGATGTGGAAATAGAGAAAAAGAATAATAGTAACCCTGGTCTATGATGTTGCGGTTTGATGGCAGATGTGGAATGACATTCTCATCCCTCCTCTTTGACTGTAGTTGCACTCCACCAGGAATGGTTTTTGGTGCTGGTTGCTTGGCCTTCTGTTATCCCTAAGTGCAAAATTGTCTCACAAGCAATGCATTTATACTCTTCATTAAATGCTACTGTTTCAGCCAGTTCAAGAAACAAGAAGTGCTTTGGCAGCACAGTACATGAGATCTGCTGTAGCTTAATAAAGAGCACCAAGAGCATTCAGATACCAAGAGGAAAAGCAGATGAATCTGCGTAGAGCCACACAATGAGGTCAGCTGATCACAAGTGCAGAACAAGTATCTTGCACGCTGCTCACCAATGCATTAAAATGTTGATTGATGCTTGTTTATCTTGCCAAAACAGGACCTTTACCTCCAGTTTTTGGTAGGGTTCATTGTGTGGGTCTTATGTTGTTACTTTTAGGACATTGAGCCCTTTTAGCGATTGGTTTCGCAGTGGTCTACAGAGGTTTCTTCAGAAGTCATCTCTTTAAAGCTGTAACGGTGAAAATAGTTTTCTCTCTGTTTCTTTTCCTTGTGCTACAGCATGGCCATCCAAGTGGACAAGTTCAGCTTTGAGAGTTTCCCAGAATCCCCTACAGATGGATCCCAGTTTGCGAACGCCAAGCAGCTGGAAGAGGAAAGGCAGCAGGCTAAAGGTCTGGAGATTAACAGCAAGCTGGATATTTGCTGGAAAATTATATCCTTTCATGAATACTCACTTTAAAAAATATATAAATAGGTGCCCTGTGACACGTTTTTATTTTATAATTCAACTCACTGTATAGCAGTGGTACTGGAAAAGAAAAGTAATTAGAACTATGAAGCTTATCATAATTATAGACTGTTTAAGGTTAATTGTGCTGTATATTATTTAGATGATATTTGGGTTTTACTGTAATGGCTTTTTCCGAGTCGCTGAGCCTGCTCAAGCCCTGCATGTTTTTCACAACTTTTAGGGAACTGAAGAACTATAGTGAGGATTGATGAGTAATAGTTTTGCAGGGTCAAATTTTTCTCTTCTCCCCTACACTGTGTGAGTGAACTGGACCCAGAGAAGATACATTAAATGATTTATAGAGCTTTCATTAATTTAATCCTATTTGAACAAATCAGAGCAAATTAGAAATACTTATATCCAATTCTTTACAGATTTAGTACCGTATCTAATTTAGGCAGTTTATTTAAGGCTTAAGAAGGAGTAGAGTGATGACTTCAGTCATGAAAATCCTAAACATAACCCCCTCCAAATCATTCCAAGTGCAATAAAATATTGCCTCATTATTATTAATTTAGCAAGTGCATTAGGAAAATGGCATATACATGCACTCAGCAATTAAAATAAACCACGTTTTCATAAAAATTTGTGTGCAAGGCCTACCCAAAGCACATTTGCCGTGATTGTCAACAAGGAGAAGTTTTGTGCATCCCACCAAGCTGGATGTTGATACATGAGGTCTTTCAGGAGATTTACTTTTTTTCACTCAAACCATACTCAAATTTGCATGATTGTAGAGGGCATGAAATGAAAGAAGAGGACAAGAAAATCATGATTTATCTTTTGAGGTGCCTTTTGGGGCTTTTAATTGTACTTTTATCTAGAGATTTGAAATGATGCTTCATTACTAATTATTAAAAGAGCATAAAGCTGTACATGGTTAGTCAAAGACAAGACGTGAAATATAAATAAGATTCCTAGTGCCTGGTTCCATCCATGTTCCCTAGGCAGCATTTCGAAAAGAATTTCATTTAGGCAAAAATGTCAATATTTAACCAGAACTCACTTAGCAAATTTCTCTCTTATAGAAAGATGTAAATATTATTTGATGGCATAGTTGAATTCTTATGCTGGAATTGAATACATAGCTGTAATAATTTTATCAGGGTGTAAAAATACATCCTCATTCAGTTTTGTTGCTGAGCAACACTGTTAACATCCGTTTTGCATTCTCTATTTAAACTAAATTTTGCTACCAAAATGAGCATGGCTGCTTTGTAAGTCAATGTCTAAGAAAATTGATAATTTCAATTCATGAATTTTATCTGCTAAATTCAGTGCAAGAATTAGTTGTTAAGTTTCTAATATTTTTTATGAATGTTGTATTGTAACTAGAACTAAAACTACTGTTATATGAGGCAACAAGTGTGTGTGTGACTGGGTGTGAAAATTATTGAAGAAACTTGTAAATTGTTTTCCAGATTTTACATCTCAAATGAAGATAGTCTTTCTCATCCTTTCATTCCTTATAATTTAGATTTCAACATTAAAAAAATAACCCCCACCAATTCTCACTTCTACAACTTTTATTTTCACAAAACTTTGAGAAAGTTTCTATTTCTGAGCCATTCGTCCTTCTACGAAAGGAATTGGAAGCTAGCAAGCAGGGTTTATTTCTGAAAGACTGATGGACAGCTTAGCTGTGTAAACTTTTTTTTTCCTCTAAAGAAAGCAGTCTAAATGCAGCCAAGAAATAAAAACTATTTATTTGCAAAAATACTATGCTACGTTTCTACATATATTCCTTACCAGAGAACGCATTTTTGCAAAATTTTTGCTGTCTTCAAACTGCTTTGAGCTCTGCAGCTAAGCTTTATGTGCCAATATACCTCTATACGTGAGAGGAGTGTAGATTTTGGAGAACACAGTTCGGACAGTTTTGTTACAAGCAATCATATATTATTTAAAGGGAAGGGATATATTATTTAGTTTCTTAGAAATAAATAGAAACCAAGTGTGTTTCTATCAATGCAATAAAGTGGAAAAATGAGTTATCACAGTGGGGATTTATGAGAGATTCGGTGCTCATAACTAACCAAAGAAAAGTTGATGAACATGTTTACAGTGTAGGGAAGCCAAAGCCTATTTTTACTTTTAAAATATAATTGGGTATATGTAAGGAACAGTGAAGAAAAAGAAGAATTCATTTTCCATACCTTTTAAGCAAGCCATCATCTGCACTGGGACGAATCACAATATTTTGTTGATACCTTATGAAATCATCATGCAAAAAAGGTTTCAAATTTTAGCTGACTGTATGACATTGACTGCCGTAAAAGTCAGTTTTTGAGAACTCCTTGGAGGACCAAATATAGTCCATAAATGATAAGTATCAGGTTACTCCTTCTACTCCTTCCAGCGTAGTAAGTACATTTTCTGTGGTTTTATCCACTGAAATATTCAGGACTTCAAATTATGACATTTTCAATGTTTCATTTACAAACGTGTCATAAAGTGTGGGAGTTTCTTTTATACTTTTGGAGGACAGGATGCTGGAGCTAGGGGACACAGTCTGCTATTCAGTTCCATCTTTGGACATGACTTACAAAATGGAAATTATTAGGAAAATAGACTGTCTTCTGAGAATACTTAGTGCCATGCCTTTTCAATTAAAAAGAAACCGTGGAGTAATTTGATTTAGAGTATCATTGAGATTATACGTGCATTGAGATAATTTAAATTAAGAACACACTGTCTTGTTTTTTAGCATCTGGTAAATGGCATCTGGTATCAGCTTAAAAACCAGGGTTTGTTGTCTTAACACAGTCTTTGAACAGATGGAGCGCATGTACTATTAAGGTGGCTAATATCTCAACTTACATTTCTCTTCATATTTTCTAAATATTTTAAAACAAAATTCATATTTTTTTTCCAGGAACTTCTATGCATTCTGACTTGTGGATCAAGGCATCTGTGCTAAACATCTTTTAAAGTTTCTAAACTGCTGTTTGCTGCAGAGTTCTCTAAGATTTGCATCTTTATAATGATACCTGAGGCTTGACTTCTGCAGCCCTTCTTGCGAACTCTTCTGTAGCCAAGTTTCAGCCAAATAAATGCCAACCAAGTGCTAAGAAAAAACCTTTTCACCATGAGGATAGTCAAGCAGGAGAACAGGTTGCCCAGAAGTGCTGCAAAATTTATGTCTTTGACGATATTTAAAACTTGTGGACATGGCTCTGAGCGCCCTGTTGGAACTTTGACATTTTCCCTGCTTTGAGCAGCAGGTTGGGTATTGACCTCCAGAGTGGGCTTCCAATATAAATTATTCTGTGATTTATGCAACCTCACAGTGAGATGAATTAGAGAATAAGGCTTTTTTTCTCCCCTCTCCTACTCTCTCCAGGTTTGGTTCAGTTGGAGAAATTTTCCAATCTGCTTCCGAGATGAAATAATAATTGCTATTTCAGTGAAATGAGACTGTAATGTCTGGGAAGACATTTTAAGCTCGGCTGAAATAGCCTTTAAAAATGGGAGATCCATTGCTGATTTAAATATCATGTTCCATTTTAATTTTTCTGCCTTTTTTTTTTCTTACTTCAGCATTAATTTTAGTGTTATGTTTGAGTTTGTTATACTTGCAGTGTTTCTTACATTCCAGAAATTGTATTTGGGATCCCTTCTTCTAAGTTTAGGCTTTTTATATTTAAAGCCAAATGTCAGCTTTTCTTCAAACCATATTTTCTTCCAGTCACGTCAGCAATATTGCTATATTCTTGGTACATGAAATGCAGAGCTGGATTATTTCAGATGAGGGTTCTCATGGAATCAAAGATTTACCTTGTGTGTGTCAAATGTGATACAAACTCCAGGAACTGTCTTCTTTCAAAAGTGTACCATGTTGATGCCAATGAGTATTTTGCGCATGGTTCAATGTAACTATATTTATTAGTCAATTATTCTCAACCTCCATTTCAAAAATCAGATTTCTTGATTTCTTCCTGATGCTTGGAGCTTTTCTTCATTGAGTTTCATCTAATTGATCTGAGGAAGTTGCACTAGTTTATTAAGTTTCTGAGTTGCAAATGCACAGATTTTATGGATTTTGCTTCATCATCTAAATGGCTAATCAAAATATTAAAAAGATTAGGTATTTTATAGCACCTTGGCTTAAGCCATTTGATATGCTGCCTGGGCTTGAGAGCGAAGCATTCTCCGTTGTTATTGAAATTGGCTTATGTGACCATTTGTCTGAGCAGCTTTTGATGATTATTATCATGATTATAATTATGAACCCCAGCTATGAAAATATTGCATGTTGTGGCATTTCTGTACATCAGAAAATGTTTCCTTAGAAATACAGCAGTTGGAGCGAGCTTTACATCTCCATACAGCAATCAACAATTGTTTACAGTAGTAACACTTCTGCAAGAATGTTAATAACTCAGTGTAATTAGTTTTAATAATGAAGAACCACAGAAATAATCAAGCTGAAAATTTAAAAGGCTATTGGCATAAGTAAAGTATGGTCATTAATCATTTAAATTTGTTTTTCATTCATGTAAATTTTATTTATGAACATTTTCTAATTTGTTTATGACGATGTGGTTCCTTCCACTTATTTGCAGAGCAACTGAGAAATATGTTCCTGAAAATGAATTTTAGAAGGATGCAAGAGGTATAATGTTGCTCAGCAGGAAGAAAAAAAAAAACAGCAATTTTAAGGTAGAAACCTTTTTGAAAAAAGTCAACTGTTTCATTCCAGGCTGATGCATCCAACACATATGGATGTGTAATAATAAAAATCATGTGGTAAGAGCTGAAGCCCAGGTCCCTAAAGACATGTAAGAATCTGACTGTGGTATCATTTATCATATATATGATAAATATCATTTTTTTAATCACAGTGGAAGTGCAGGAAAACAGTTGGAGGTTTATTTAAGTGAATGTATTCTGCAAGGTCCAACTTGATGTTGACAGTTTGTGCTTCTGTTTATCTTTGCAATTTTTTCCAATGAATTTGAAATTCTAGATCTTTCTTACAATTTTGTTATGTGTCAGGATCCATCCCCTTTGAGCTAAGAATGGAAGGGTGCATTGGCATTCACTGCTTCATGAGTTTGACTTTAACTTACATCCAAAGGCTTCTCTTAGAAAACAGGCAAACTGACCTGGGCTTTTTCTCCTCTTTGCTCTGTGATTTTACTCCTGCATATGCTGGTTACTTAAATACTCCAAGGCAATGTGTTTGCTGCACTGTTCAGTCTGTAGTACCACTAACTGAGCAATTTTGTGCAACTGTCTGATGGACACCCAGGAGACACAGATCAATGATATTTAATTGAATGCTATTTGTGTCCATTTGGCACATACTAATCATACTGAGTCCCTCTGTCAACTTAAGCTTTTTTTTGTCTCTGAATCTACTTTTCAGCAGAGCTTTAGTGGAAGTAGATACTTTTACTTACAGGGAAGGGGTACAGGGAAGAGATTTCTTCAGGTCCAACCTTCTACTTGGAGAAGGCACGAGTAGGTTGTGTAGGCCCTTGTCCATTCAAGCATCATCAAGGATAGAGATGCCAGTCTCTCTGAGAAACCTTTTCTAATGTTTCACCACACTCAGTAGGAAGATTTTTTTCATTGTATCTAACTGAAATTTCAGGTGTTCCCATCTTGTGTCCTTTGCCCCTCTTCCTAACGCTGCTCTTCCAAGCAAAGTCTGCTTCCATATTATCTGTACCCTCCCACCAAGACCAACAGCAGTAAGATCTCCCCTTAGCTTTTTCTTCTTAAGAATGAAGAAACTGTCTTCTCTAAACCTCCACCCTCTCCTCATCTGCCATGTGCTCCAGCCCTCTAATGGTCTTGGTAGTCCTCCGGGTGACTTCATCCCATATTTCAGGATCTTCTATCAGAGAGCCCAAAATGAGCCACAGGATCTAGGAAGCACAGGTCTACCTTTTTTGTGTGTTATTTGAAGCATAGGTATGCATATTTTTTTAGCACTGTAAATACTTGCCATAGAATAGGAAGAGCAGACTTTCTTCTAGAAAGAAAGACTTTGTTCTGGTTATTCTACCACCCTGGAAAACTCTTCTTTCCTTTTCATCTCTTTTTGTTAGTGGGCCTCTGTAGAAACATCTCATACCCTCTTTAAGAAGTTGGCTTTAGTAAATAATCTATTGATGCCTTGCTTTTAAAATGGTAAGATGTATTTTCCTTGTAAATACATGGATCTGCTTTGATAGCATCTACCAGTAGTAAACTATGGAGAATCCCCCTCTTTTTATTGTCGTTTATAACAATATCTGAGACATTAAGCTTTTCATGGAGTTCTAAGCTATAAAAATTTGTAATATTCTGGGCACCTCTGTGAGCAAGTTGTAAGTAAATTACAGCAAGTTAGTTTAACATTACAGTTAACGGCAGCCACTCGTTTTAAAACTTTAAAATATTACCTTTTTATTAGCTTTTCTCTCACATATATTCCTTATATTAAAGATGTGGCAAAAGAAAAATTTATCTACTATCTCTATAAAGTAATCTAAATTATGTATCCTCTATCCTAGAGCTCAATTTATGGAGTTTGTTCTGTCGTGTTTGTTTCCCAAGTCTTATTTTTCAGCAGTGATACTTTTTGGAAGTGATATTCTGCTGCCTTTATTTTCCAAATAGTTTGGAAAAGGAGCATTTGAGTCTATGTCCCTCCATTGCTCTCAAGCTACCTGAGGTTTGCTGAATTTAGTGGGAATTACTCCAGAGATCTCTGTTGTTAGCAATCTGTGAATTCCCATGAAGAGATGTCATCTGCAAACTTTATGAGTTTACCTACCATGAGGAAAAAGTACTCTGGCATCTCGTGGTCATTTCCATCCATCTTTTCCATGTTTTTGAGAGTCATGGCTTGCACAGCAGAAGACAGGTACCTAAAGGAATAGAAAATCCACAGTCTGTTTTTGACACATCATTCCTACTGGAAACTTCAGCTCAGTAACCTTGAAATTCTGCACCCAAAATTTATAGTGACTTTCTAGTAGAGAGCAATGCCTCATACTGGACAGATCTTACTCATTCTCTAGAGAGATACTCATGCTCTGTAAGAGCCTAAGTTTTTTATGGTGTTAGAGCCCATAAATCTTTATATAAGTATGCTGGATATTTCTTTGGATTACACCATCAAGTGCACTCTGCTTGACACTCACTGCTAACCAACTCTCCGTGATCTGACCCTAAGATTTAACCCAATCAGGAGCCCAATTTATGGCTGCTTTTCCTAATGTCCAACATTAGACCTGAAAGTTTTCATGATTTTCCACAAATGCTGTTAAAGTGCATAGGCTTTCATTCTCCCTGTGCCTCTAGTACCTTTGAGTTTATAAGGTAGCCATGACCTTAATTTTGTTTTATAAAGTGCTACTTGATGGATACATCCCACAGGAAATTTTACGAGTCTCTAGAGATGCAGTTTTGATTTTCATCAGTTAAAGTTGTGTGCATTAATGTGCTCTTTTTCTCTCCAAATCAATGTTTTCCTTAATTCCAATTTACCCTTCTCTGAAGCGGGAAGGGGAAGCCAGTGTGGAAGGTGTTCTCAATCAGCTGGTCCTAGAGCATCTACAACTGGCTCCTCTCCAGTGGGGTGAGTAACCAGAGAATCTGTCAATGACCTTTATTTTTTGCATTGGTTGTTACTTTTTGGAAGTATTTTTTTCTTAATCATGTTCTTTGTAACACCACAACATCAAATTTCTTTGCAGTGTGTGTTGTATGAGAATGCTACGGTTTCCATTTACAAATAATTTTCAGTTGATCACACGGAAGGTTTTGCTAGTGTATTTTTCCCCCTTCTGACTATTTTTGCTGAAGATAAATGTGAAATTGAATCTAATGTATTTTAAGTGTCAATGTTCAGTAACTGTGAGACCTGAGTACACACTTTTCCCTGTAATTTGTGATCCTAGTGGTTTTGTGTGAGAGGTGGCTGCTGCTTAAACTTTACCTGATAGTGTATATTACAAAGTAATAACTCTAAAATGTTTTCATATGGGGTTATAATAAACTTTGTGGTATATTTATTATCATAATCTAGGCATTTCCATTACTCTAGCTTTTCAAGCACAGAAAAGGTTATTACTTTGGGTAGTGGAGAAGAACAGCATCCCTTAATTGTGCATTCAGAATGATGTTCAAATTATGAAGTATTGAATTAATTTAATTCTGAACAGTCTTGAAAATGTGGCTTCTGTCTGAGGTCCTTAACAAAGTTTATGTGTTAGTTCTGAAACATACCATGTTTTCTCCCCAGTACTTCTATTGCAATGACAGTTTACTGAGAAAATCTCCAATTCCTCAGAAAATTGTTTCCAAAGCATTTTGTTTTTAAAGCAAGTTTAACTTTATGCTCCTTGTTTTAATAAATTTTATGACCTAGAGAGGGCTTATTTTAAGGACCCTTGTTTCATCACTATTGGCTAAGTTAACTGTCAAAGCCAAGGAGACCTCAAAGTCTAAGCCCTCTCTCCAGTATTTATGTACATTTTCTCTTTCAATGCCCTTTCATACAGACCATCCTCAGCTGGTACATTAAAATTTGTAAGGTGAGAATATGAAAATAAGTAAGGCTTTTAAGAATTATTCTGTATACGTGTCAGACTCTAAAGGCAGACTTTTCTCTCTCAAAATGTGCTTTTCTGGCCTCTGCTCTTAACTGATGCTAGACCCACAGGAATTTAGTAGCCTTGCATTGTTTGCTGCGGCATATATACAGTATATCCTTATATTGATTTCTTAGGAATGAGGACATTGTCAAGAAAGTAAGAGAAGAGATTAAGCACAAAAAAAAAGTTTTTAAGGGGGGAAAAGTTTTGCAGCAGGAAGTACTGGCTTAGCAGAAGCCTGCCTTATTTTCTTGTCTAATACTTGTTAAATGTGAAATTACTATTGACCATAGTATCTATATTGCAGAACACAAAAATTATGTTGAAGCTAAAAGTGTAACTTGCAGAGAAGATTATTGAAAAAGTTGTTTCGATTAAATGCCGCATTCTTCTGGAAAGCAGAAAGGAAAATTAAAATAAAAAGCAGTGGACAGCTTTTTATTTTTATTTTATTTAGTGTAACTTCAGATATTTAGTAGTTAAATGTCTGTTTAATTGATTTTCGTAGACTGTACCTGGGTAACTCTGCCTGCATTTGCAGTGTGATGGGCATTTTAGCCAGAAGATATTTCCCATTCAGCTCATTTAGGCACAGTAAAGGGCTTGGACTTTCAAATCACTTGAGACATAATGTGAAATGTGAATTCACTATCCCTTTGAAATTTTTTTCATGCAATTTGGAAATAATGGAAACAATATTTCCATTTTCGTGTGTTTTATTAGAGACCTCAGCAACCCTGTAGGAGTCAGCTCTGACACTGATCGTGATCTACACCAAAGTCCACCAGGAAGAGAAACTTAGGACAGCAAACCTGAAAGTTTTTTAAACATTCAGATTTCCCTGAAAAAAAAAAACAAAAAAAACCTATGATCTTAACATATATAATTACTAAGGCAATTTTTTCCTACCTTTTCCCCCTTTTTTGGTGGTACTGATTAAAAAAAATAGCTTAGAAGTGATATGCTACTGTCAGCTGTTTGAGGTGCAACTTTCTCTTAATCATAACACTTCTTGTAATCACAGCTTTGCTCAGCTTTGAGTTTTCTTTTTTAGGTATGTAAGAATTGGTTGCATTTTAATTTTTATTAAGCACTAGCCATCATTTTAATGCAATCTTTGCATATTTTGGCTAAGAAATGTGGCCTTAGTCTCATGCAGTAAAACTGATTCTATAATTATTAAAGATTTTTGCCATATTGATGGTTACATTTAAAGGTTTTCTGCATTATATATGCTTACAGTGAAACATGTATGAATATTTAATAGGATTTTGATTAAAAAAGACTGGCTGTTGTACAAGCTGGAATGCAAAATTCCTTTTAAATTTGACTTATTCATACTAGAGCAATATTATACTTCTCAAATAATGAAAACACATTGAAATGATTTTTCATGTAAATTTGACAATCTTTCCATTAAATAAAAGAGAAGACTTTTAAAAGTTAATGATGTTAAAATTTTGGTGTAGGGATTAGAAGTCAGCTTTAAAAGTTTCTGTATTCATGGAGAAGGTGGCTTTTGGGGATAGTGTTTGTTTTTGTCATTTCATATAACATAGATGACTGGGCAGGAAAAGTATTAAAAATATAAAGGATCATAGAAAAAGGAAAATATGTCAAAGGGCAGAGTGAGAGTTCTTAATATGTTGTTAAAATTGATTTTAAGATTTAGGACGCCTCTTTAAAATGGAGTTGTCTATTAGGGAGGTTATTAAATCATGTGTAATTGCAAAACATCCTGCTCAACACCAGCAAGTTCAACACTCTCTCAAATTTATGACATATTTTCTTTTTACTGCTGGGCAACAAACCAAATATAGGAATGGATGTGGGTTTAAGGTGACTCTATTAACATCATCAAATCACAGAAACAAGCTGCAGAGTTTAACGAAGGCAACCAAGACTCTTTGAAGACACACGTTAATGCAAGTCCGGGGATTAGATTTGGAAATGGTCAGGTGGTGGCATTTGGAGTTGCTTGCACTGCAATATTTTTTAAGCCTTTATTTGATTATGTTGCTAAATTTTGCAAGCAAGCAGAATTTTGAGACCGAACACTCCTCAGTCCCATATTGCTCTTCTGCGTTTTGTAGCACAGTTATCTTAGGTACAGTGTGAGTAAAATGTTGCTGATTGAACTTGAAATGTGCTGAATTGGGGATAGACTGTGGATTGGACTTGGAATAGGCTGTAACTAGAATATTTCCACATTCAAATTTCAGAACTGTCTCTTAGACAAGAGATTCCCAACATTTTACATGCTGAATGCAGGAAATCTTTTTGAATTTATTCTCCTTCACAAAACAGAAGAACTGACTTCCTTCATTGGCTGCATCCTCAAGTGAAGCTAGGATACTTTTCTTTCACTGATGATGTGTAGAAGAGTGAAGTCTTATTAGAGAAATCTAATTTAGGAATTTGGAATTACGGACAAATCCAAAAGTGCTTTTTTTTTCTTTCATTTCCATCATTCTTCACTTCTTCCTCTATAATATACAAATTTCAAGACAATTCAAAACATTTAAATTAGCTTGGATACCCTTTCCAAATGCAGAAAGTTTCATTTTCCAGTATATGATTAAGCAGAAAGCTAACAATTCTGTTACTGAACGCTCTCCACGTCGTAATTAAGGAGTAATTAATTGGAGTGGTGCCAAACGGGCAAAGACTTAATTGTTTACTTCTAGGTAAGGAATGCTGCACATTTTCCTGTGTATTTTCACCATAAATTGGCTGCCTGTTTGCGTCGTGCAGGCTTATCCTGTATTTAGGGAAAACTCAGAAGTGAAAGATGATTCAAAATTGTGCCTCATAGGTGGATGGCATCAGGAGAGGAGGTTTGCATGTAATTTGAAGTGTTCTATGAGTATACAGTCCCTTTTATGACAGCTTGCTTGGAAGCTCTGTCTGCGTAGGTAGTCTGACAAAACATCTCACAGAAGTATTACCTTTTAAATAAATCATCTTGTTACTATACCATTTGTTTCAAAAGCACCAAGTCAGGAACCCTTCTTAATGCACAGAGATTATTTATTTCGTGGATCTTAATTACGGCACCTACTCATCTGTGTTATTTTGCATTTTCCAGTCTGACCTCAGACCATGAGTAAATCTTCCTTTCCACCGTTCATGGAATTAATATTTAGGGACTACAGTAGTGTCAAATCAGAGTGTCCTGAATACAGAGGAAAATATGATAAAATGTCTGTCCAGAAGTAGCTGAGGAAACCACACATCTCTTGGGCTGCAGAGGTACCTTGTTGATGCCATCTGGACACAGGGACAGGGGGTTGCCCCCATGTTGTCCTCAAGTTGTTCCCATACTTGAGAAGAGCCAGTTCTCTGCTGCCTTTCTTTGAAGGGTTTCACATGAAATGTTAAAAAATAGGTTTCTGTCCTTCAAACACGATCACGAATGCCTTTCTGCTCATGAATCAAAGTAAAATATTCTTTAATAATTAATAGTTTTGAATAACACTAGACTGGCTGTTCTGATCAGTGCCAGGATGAAAGCAAGAGCATTGGCCAGAAAAAAACTCAAGAGCAAGTTATCCGTAATGTAGAGAGTGGCAGTCTGGTCCATAAAGAGATTAAGGAGTTGTGTGGGAGATGAATTCTACTAGGTAACCAACCTTTCTCATCCATTTAGAAAAATCTTCAGCTTTTTTTTTTGTTTTTATTTTTAAGCGCAAGAGAAGTGAGAAGGCTTTCATAGCCAAACAGCTTGTGTGCGGGCTGTTGGGGGATATTTTGGCAATGTCAAGCCAACAAGATGCTTCAGTTTTAGGGAAGTGCTAAGGGACTAGGGTAGTATATTGAAAACGGGACTAGCTTGATGAAACTAGGGCATCTGGCACATTAGTAATGTTCTCACATGTCAAAACATGCTCTTGTGTGATGTACTTTGAATCAGCTGTTGTTTCTAATTCCTGCAGAAGTCTTGGTTATTCTAAACTGAACGAAAAAACTAGTAGAGAAAGGT